TACACATTGATTGTGTGCATTAGCCAAAGAAAGATAAGGCCTTTCATGTGCACCTGTTCCTGGGGTGTCTCACCTCTGACCCCTATCACAGTCAGGAACTTATTAAGTAAACCCTTCAGAGACATAGAAGTAACAGAAAGCCAAACAAAACCTAAACCCTGTCTGCTCAGACTTTTGACTATCACAGAATCTTGAACCAACTGTTAATGCCTCAAATGAAGTCTAGTGTGGCAAGCAGAACTACTGTAGAAGCTTTAAGTTAATCTTTTAATTAATCTTTTAATGAAATTAGCAATAGTGTTTCTGTTATCATTTTAAAATCTAATGAGAAAGGCAAATTATTATTTTAATGATGTTTTGATCATTTTACTATTTTGCCAACAAATATACCAAAGCTGGTTTCATTGTTTTGTTCTCTTCATTGTTCCTTTAGACACCTCACTAAATTTCTATTAATATGCTGCATCAGTAACAAGACATCTGCAAATCAAATCTAAAAAATTGCAGTAAAACAAATAAATAATATCAGAGAAGAGGCTTTTTAATTGAGGTCCATTACCATTATTACAATTTTTTACTAAAATGTTTTTGACAAAATCAACAAGTGCACATGCAAAAAGGAAAATGTGCAGATGCACAAAAAAAGCAAATGTTTGAGGTCATTGAACTTTCCTCAGCGCTTTAAGGCTCTTGTCGCCATGATTTGTTTATTTTTTTGGTGTGCAGATTCTTTGTGACTAATGACTCATTTGTTTTGCATAATGTACCTAGTGAACCTGGCTAGTTTTGGTAGAGAAAAGTTTATTAGCAAATTTAAAGTTCTAAAGTTATTCATTAATTTGACCTATAAAAAGTCTGTGGAATACCTCAGTTATACTATTCTGTAACCACACATTAAAAGCCATTTAGTTAGCTTTATATTACAAATTTATATTTATGCACTTGGTAGACACCTTTATCCGAAGCAACTTGCAGTGAATTCAGGCTACAAATTTTTAATCAGTATAATGTACAATGGTGTGAAAAAGTGTTGGCCCCCTTCCTGATTTCTTATTTTTTTGCATGTTTGTCACACTTTAATGTTTCAGATCATCAAACAAATTTAAATATTAGAATCAGGAAGGGGGCCAACACTTTTTCACACCACTGTATGTTCCCTTGAACTCTAATTGGCCAGCATTGTTAGCGTCATGATCTACCATGTTCACCTTCTACATAATTTAAGCTGTAATTTATTAAACACAAAGCCTGTGTGAGCAAATCAGTTTATCTGAGATATTTTTAATAAATTGTTTTTGTTTTTGAATCTTTAAATTCATAAAATATAACTTGTGAATTAGTCACTTGTACACGTACATTTGCTTAGCTTTGATTTATCACTGTTGAGCTCACTAGACATAATCACAGCAAGATGCAGTTTACATTATTAGGACAGTTGAGCACAAAATTACTTATTCTTATGTTTTTCTCTTGAGTTCCTCTTCTTTAACATCCGATTTTATGATAGTACTTATACATCATTATCTTCCCTCTTGCCTGCCCCTTGTGATTTCCTTTTATATAAGCTGACCATTTTGTCTTCTGTTTATAAACTATTGCCAGTAATCACTGACAGTTTATACATGGCTGCTCTTCTGCTCTAACAATAGGCTAAGGGAAATGGGAGGATACTAAGGAATCAAAAACTCAAAAAGAAGAAGAAAAAAAGAAACCTTAACATAACAGCATTACAACTGGAACTTTTACTGATTAAAAAAGGAATTACAAAGTTTTCTAATGCTGTTCAGTCATCATGTCAATTTGTAGGCCAGCCCGAAAGACTAATTCACCATGGATTCTTTTGGGAATTTCTAATGGGTTTCAAAATTCACATTTGACTGTGTGTAATTTATTTTGTAGAACAAAACAGGAAGGTCTCTTCATGTAATGTTAACCACAGACCTCATTTTATTCATAAATCAAAAACTCCTTAGAAATTCCATAGGGAACCCATTGCTCTAAAATGCTAATTCTTCTCTAAGCAGAAAATGCAAGTGCTTTATTCAGATGTGCAGAGAATTGCAGATGCATGTCTGTTAGCAATCTCCTGGCAATGGATTTGTAGGTGTGGTAGGTTTGTGTAGTTTAGGGCGTCTCTTGTTCCATACTTGATGCTTCTGTTGATGCTAACAATTAAAAAGGAAACATCTGCACAACTTAGATTCTCCTTCAACATGATCACTTCTTCCGGCATTTTCACTCTCGGGTCTGTTGACACTTTTGAGATGGTCACAGATGACCCTTCCAAATTTTAGTTCATAAAGAACGTGTGTACCTGACATTCATTTAGCCTGCTTCACTTCAGTGATATAATGCTCTTAAACACATTATGTCAAAGGAGTAGTCTACATGATGTATGTCTGGTCAATATCATAATTTTAATCACACTCACACTCAAATATGGTGTTTCGAGCAGATGTTGTTTCAGCTCATTGTTATTTTAGTCCAGTGCCTGTATTACCTAAACTTTTGCATGTCTGCGCATGCTTCACGATCTGTTGCTACATGTTATGATTTTTTTAATCTATTGACAGCCCTGGTATAAATACATACGATTTAAATATGTGATTTTTATTTAGATAATCTTCAGTGTGAGCTCTCTCTTATATAGAGAGGTTCCTTTAGGTGATTGTTGCAGAATGACTGATGCATCATAGAGCAGATTTATATAAGTGTTTGTAAAATACTGTAAGTAGCTAAAATGCAACTTGATATTTCCTTGGGAAACATCTTGCTTCAGGTTCCTGCTGACAAAGTTTTAAAGGGGTCATATGATGCAATTTAAAATTTTCCTTTCTCTTTGGAGTGTTACAAGCTGTTCGTGCATAGATAAGTTCCCCAAAATTGCAAAGACTAAAGTTATTCTCGCTGTAGTATTGTTGTTGCCGCCACCGCCATGTCGTGGAGACGCTGTGTGTTTAGTTGTGAAAGCGAAACTACTTTGTTTGACCTTCCAAAGGGGACGATATCCGCTTCGTCATGCCTGGAGCTGATCCGTGCTGGTCGTTGAGGAAATACATCAACTTCGCGCTGTGGATCGCCGGATCGGCTTTCACCGTGGACGAAGCGGAGTCCAGCCCGGGGTCGTCACATGTGGTTGCCGCAAGCCCGCTGGACGCTCCTTCATCGAATCCACCGGCCATGCCGTTCGCCACTCAAGCTCGCCGGCCTCCGCTCACTCTAGCCCGCCGTGTGTGACGCTGTGTGTTTCATTGTGAAAGCGAAACTACTTTGTTTGGCCTTCCAAAAGAAATGCCAACTAGAAATCAGTGGCCAAGTTGTATTTACAACACTGTTCCAGAACTGTTCAACCCAAATATTCAGATGTGTGCAGTGCATTTTATGGAGGACTGTTTCCTGATCCTGGTAGAGTAGACTACAATGCATCTGTGCACAAAGGCTGTTTCTATAAAGTGGGGCACTTCCAACTGTCCAACTGGGACAGTCTGGCGCTTCTGACTCACAGCCTGTAAGTAAGTTTTTTATATTTAAAGAATTTGCCACTGACGATTCAAACGCGTATTTTGAGCACTGTTGTGTAGCGCTTGTTGTTTGTCGTTTCTCCGATCACAAATGCAGACATGGTTTTATGTTTACGAGATATGCAACACAACGCGTAAAAAGACAGTATAAGTCATTATAATCAGTAATTATGTCCCCACTGGATGCAATAAATGCCTAGTTTGTAATGGGTTTTATTGGTTTTGTTTTGTCTCGTCGTGCCGGGACACGGCATCACAGTATGGTAAGGGGCATAACATTTCCGTCACACGGTTGAGGTATTCAGCCAATCACAACGCACTGGATAGCTGGCCAATCAGAGCACACCTCACTTTTCAGACCGATGAGCTTTGTAAAAATCGACGCGTTTCAGAAAGGCAGGGCATAGAGGAGAAACAATAATGTACATTATGTGCAAAATAATATGTTTTTTTAACCTTAAACCGCATTACACCAAATACACAACATAATGTTCTTTTTAGCAACATCATATGACCCCTTTAACATCAGGCTTTATTGACACATTGGCACAGAGTGGTTGATGCAGGTGACAACCAGACAAACCTGCATCTTAGCACTTTATCCACCGTCGTAATATATCTCACCAAGTGAGAGAGATAAGGTTTTGTTTGAGAGATTGAATGTTTTTCAGTCAGTTTATTTAGGAATGGTCACTATATTGATCATTATATTGTTGTTTTGATTCAGGACAGCATAATTCAGTGGGTAGCTGGTGTTGTTCTGTAAATAAGGTGGCACTTTAAAATGTTTAGCACTTGGTCTTTGCTTTGAGTCTCAGGTGTGTGTGAGTAATGTTATGAAATATTTATTTGGCAAGCTCTGGTATGAACTAGAGAAATTATATATTATTCATAGTTTAATTCATACAAATTTGTTCATTTGCAAAACTGAAAAGTTCGAAGTAAATCCTCCAATCACACCAGCAAGGTCAAACTTCAGGCAAGGTCTTTCACACAAACACATTTTAATTAAACATTTTTGATACCTTTAATTTTTTAATTCATACAAATTTTCTATCAGGAAATTGCATGCAGCTTTATCAAGTTTATTTATTTATTTTTATAATTTTCAGTAATGACATTTTTTGTATTTTATAGGTATAGGATATGTTTCTGTAGTTGACTTTCAGACTTTTGACTAGTTAACTTTCAAAAACGCCATTCTTCTCTCATCTCTCTTTGCAGTTACAAGCCTTATAAATAATGAAGGAATGAATGCGTATGACCAAAGATAAAAAAAAGTTATTTTGAAAATTTTTATAAAATTTTAATATTGGCCATTTATCAGTTATCCGCCATTACATGACATCGGCTTGTCAGTTTTAAGAAAACCTCCAATAAATTAATCAGACATTTTTATACCTTTTCAAAGTTACACAATTTTCTAAAGTACACAACACAAAGTTTAGCTGAAAGATCAACTTCCATGTCAAAGCTTACCTTCATGAGTTCCTTCTGGAAAGACTTCCTCTCCTTGCCCTCAGCTGCATTGCAGTCTTCCTTAAGCTTCTCAAGAACAGAAGCCACCTTTTCAGGCTCACTTTCTGGCTCTGTCCGACAGAAATGTGTCAGAGGCAGATTGACGTAACCCAAAGTGTCAGCAAACACTCTCCAACTCGCCACGTTTTCCATCAGTATTGTCCTCACTGATGCGTAGATGTACGTCAGGCACAAGCAGGGCTTTAGGATCTGCTCTAAAAGGATTGTAGTTGTAAGATCAGGCCCTTTGAAATGAACAGGTTTCACTTTTCCCATGATTAGAATGTTTTTTGCATGCACCAACCCAATTCTTCCATGGTAGTATCCGATGTACCACTCTTTGGTCCATAGATGTCCTTTAAGTTTAATTTTTTCCTCGCTCAAAAGAGCCATTACGTCGCTTTTAAGATACTCTAGCAAATACAGGCTTTTGGGCTGTCTTACAACAGTTTTTAGAAGCTTAGCAAATTTTAGGTTTTTGACTAGTCTGTCCTGAAACACAGGGTACTTTGTGGTCGCTGCAAGAGGAGACAGTATGATTTTGTTTACTTCCTTTTTCTTGAGGAAGCGCCTTTGAACGGAGCTTCTTATGCTTGTTTTTGGTGGTGGGGTTGGGGTCTGAACGCAAAACTGGGCCAAGATACAGTCCTTATCATCCTTGACCTGAATACGCAAAGTAAAGTCTGAAATGTCAGTTGAATCGTGTGCTGCGATCATGTAGATGAGGCGGGCCCCTTTGCCAAGTTTGATCTGAAATCCCCTCACGGTTCTTGCCTGTTCATTGGCTCTCACATCAAAATTGGACATGTTTGAATACATGCCAACCTGAAGGTCTTGAGGTTTTGTTAGTACAAACTGGTGCTTTCTCCAGAGCTGGAGGACGACAGGTGGAGTTGACTGTAAGTGCTTTTTTACATCGCTCACTAGCAACGTCTTTGGGGCGCAGTCATGGCCAAAAATGGCCACTACTGTGTTGAAGGATGGGTGAATGTGTTTTGGCCCGTATACCCCAAGAGTGACCTTTTTTACGACATGTTCCCAGACTGTGTTGTATGGGGCCAACGTTTGTGCTTGGGCAACTACAGAGACATACATGCAAGGCTCTAAATTGTCCAGAGTTACTTGAACTGTGTCTCCATACATGTATACATGTGGAATCGGGACATACGGACCTTCCTTGAAGTCGCTTCTCACACACACCACCTCTGTGGTTTTGCGGCTCTCTATCTTTACTACAACAGACACCTTCATCTCTAAAGTGACCGGGGTTTTGGTTTCCATGTTACTGAGTTTTACTTCTACCACTGGACTTACGGTAGTACATCTATCGTTGTTAAGCTCCAATGGTGGATCCAGAAGGGCCTTCAGCGATATCTGCTGAGTCTCACCCGGTGCAACGTGACCCTCAGGAATATATATACTGATACTGGTATTTGGTAGCTGCACGGCACCACCAGAACTGTCCAGTTTGCACACAATATTAGTCTCTATTGGCTGGGTTTGCCCCCAACCTGGGTTTTGTCCAATGGAGTCCAGGTCATGGCAGGATCGTGTAAGTTTACGGTGATTTAGCCATGCCGTTTTGAAATCCTCTCTACTTTGAAAATGCTCAGGTTTAGGTGACTTCAAGCCACCAAAAAAACTCAAGGAACCTTGATTCCCATCAGACAGGGACTGTAGGACAGACAGTTCTGACATGCTGTAGCAACGCTTACTCCTAAAAAACGGATTGTCCCTGCGAAGATTTAGGCCAATCCCTGAGCCAGGGCTAATACTGTGTGTGTCAAGTAGCCCACTTTCAAAGCCATTAATATTAATTGTGCTGCTGGTGTTTGAGATGGGAGGTGAGAGATTATCTAAACACAAAGCACTTGCTGAATTCTGGTTGCTGTTTTGGTCAGGGGCGCCTTGCAGCGTGCCATTTAGGAAAGGGTTAGTTGACATCCGTTTATTAACAAAAGGATGGTCATTATTAGATTCTGTGATTTTGGTGGACCCTGTCCACTCCCCCGAGATATCCATTTCTCTCACCCCCTCAGAAATGTCACTTAGGCTGTCAATCATGCCGCTATCACTGAATGTGGAATCTCGATAATTGATCGGCTGGACATAAGCAGCTGGGATATATCCCATCTCTTTACTGTTGTGTGCATACCACCACTCTTCACCCGATGTGTCTATAACATAAAGACAGTCTCCCTTTGAGAATTTGAGTGTGGTAAAGCTGGATGGACAGTAATCCTTAATGGCAATCACTTCCCTGACAGCTCCAAATGAGGCAGTAGCATCCAGTCGTAAGGCACTAGATGAAGGCACTGTAAAAAAAAAAAAATGAAATCAGGTGTATCTGGGTCTTGTAAAAGTCAGGTGATGTAGGCAGTCTTTATATGGCACAGTCATCTTGAGAGCAGGGGCTGAAAGCAGTGCTCCGTAGGAGATCCAGACAGTTGACAAGCATGAGGGAGCCTGTGATGTGCCTCCAGCGCTTGGTAATGGGGTTCTTCATTTTGTCCAATCCAGTGTGAAGTTCCTGAATCACATCCCTGTAACTGTCCCCGATCTGGGCTGCCCATGTGACGAGGAAGTCAAAGGCAGGTTTCCACATGGCCTTTACAAAATAAAAAAAGTAGAGATTCATTTGAGTTTGACATGTAAACCTGCATGAATATGACATTTAGGTGCCCTGAATTTTGTTCCCTAAGAAGACTTTATACACAATTTGTATGCTCTCCTTCAGAGTGAATGTGTACAAATATCATAACCCAGTAAGTGCAAGAGGAAGCTCATAATCTCATCAATTATTGGTAGAACATTTAGGTTCCTCTTCTAAGCTGGACACAAACACTATAGACATGCCTTGTGGGTTTCCTGTAATTGGAGCTCAAAACCCAGTTTTAAATTTTACAAGGGTCAGTTACTGTCTCTCGCACCCATCTCACTTGGATATTGCTCTTTATCCATTTTTATAATTTAGAGGATTTAACATTTTATATCTATATAATCTATATTTTGCTTAACTTAATGTTTACCTACTCTGTGTTTTGTTTGCACAGTTGTCTGTACTGTCACTGCTCTACAATCTAAGCCAGGTCATAAGCATTTCAGTGTGCACTAAACGCTGTGTAAACAGAATTGACACTTCTTTTTCATCCCGATCTCATGAGAAAACATTAGTATTTTACAAGGTGGCATAAGTATTTTCATGTGAATTTGAATATGTGATTTGTACAGAGACGTGAAAAAAAAAACCATGAAGGTCGTGAATGAGGGTAATACTAGAAGTTAACACTATGCTGATTGTGAGGTAAAAATAAGAAAGGAAACCTTTAAAATCTGTAAGGGTGGCCTCTGGCACTCCTTCACTGAGATCAATAAGTGCACCCTCAGATCTGCACCGAGGGAGCACAGTGTTGTTGTTCGCGGATCGAATGCGATGGGCAGCCATGGTGTGTATTTCTACCAAACTCCACTTCTTGTCTCAAGTTTTTCTTCCCATGTTTGTTCAATGGCCATGTTTATGGAATCAATGGCCTTCCATAATATCTGTCACAAAGTAAAGGTGAAAGGACATTATAAGTTTGCTTTTTTATTTCTGCTGAATATATTCTTTAAGGAAATTTGATATTGTTTGCACAATAAAACACCAGAGATGAACCAGGAGTTCAAGAAAATGAAAGAATAAACTGTAAAAAATTCATAAGAATATTTATGTGTAATTCTTAAAAAAATTATTAGTTCTCAAATATTTTCTAAAAAACATTATTTTTTTTTCTAATGTTAATTTTGTATCAGTCTTTTCCGATTAAGAAATGATCAGAACAAGCATTCATCAACAAGGATTATATGCTGTTGACTGTGATGACTATATATTTTTTCCATTTAGTGTTAATCAGTAATTTAATCACAGTAAGATTGTAAAGTAACTCGTACAACTCTTTCCATATTGGTCTATATCAGGCATATAAGGCAAATTTCAGTTTTATGGCCTCATTCCACTTATCCTAAACCAAAGAGAGCCTACACTTTGCCACTACTTGTCTTGAAGTAAGGCTAATAAGGGCAGAAATATTTGCTCTTGTCCAGACACGTCTATTTTATTTGTGACATCCTCTTGAACATAAAAAGAGAATAAAATGCCCTGGTCTCTATGAAGGGTTGCACAATAAATATAGCCTGAAATCAAAGTTGCTACATTTGTTCCTCTTTTTTATGTTAATTATTATATTTCTATTTATTTTTTTGTATTTTTGTGCAATGACTTGTGTTATCCAATGATTGCTTCAAAAATTGTGCAAAGTGTTTGAATTATTCATTTATAAATAGAAGTTCCATCTGAGCTACTTTGCAGTATGCAAGCTTAAGGCTAAAACATTGCTTGCTTTTAGTAATCAAAAGTAGGATAGTGTTTGAGTGGAACTCTGCATCCTCTTAAGTCTGATCATGAACTATGAAGGCTCTCCAGCAATACACATCAGTGGTTTCCATGGCTACCACCTTGGGGAACAAAGCACACACAGTGAATTGCCTTTAGAGAAAATGCCCAGCTGTAGCATACTGGGAATGTCTCACGCACAACAGTCTGAAATATTATGAAACTACTAACTAAAAAAGCAAAGCCACTTAGGCTGCCTTACTGGTAAGGGTTACAGTTTTATATGCAATGTTAAGACTGTTCATACAGAAATACATCATATAAGGTACAAATATTGGCTTAAATCAGCAAATGGGTAGCAGTCATGTTCTGCTCTGTAAATAATTATATGAGAGATATTACTAGAAATGTATATGCAGTAAACATTTAGAGATTTCTTTTCAGAACTGGACAAAATGTTTCTGAAAATTGCATGGTAAAATTGCTGTTGTGGGTAGAGCCTGACTTTAAAAATATTTCACTTTTATTTATTTGTGTGTGTGTGTGTGTGTGTTTATAAGGGCTGCAGGATCTGCTCTGTGAAAGACCAATTGTACAACCTTTTGTTTCAGAAATACAGAGGAAATGCCTGTGAAATAAGGATGTGCTGCATTTACCAAAACTTACATTGCACAATCATATTTTAGCAAACACCTTCAGGGTATGATAGAACATACCGGTCTATGACATCAAGAGAATTTCAGTGTATATTGTTAAATTAATTGCTAATGTCATAGACCTTTATGCATCAGTGGACATTTTCAGGACTGAACTAGTCTTATAAGCATACAGAGTTTTGAAGCATGACAGCTGCTTTTTGGTGACATGGCGTTCTACAATATTTAAACAATATGAATTGCTAAAATACCACAGTACTGTTTAAGCATGTGCCAAATAAATGAATAAAAAAAAAACTAACACATAAAAAACTTTTTTTTAAATTTGAAGTATACATTCCAGACAGAGTTCAAAACATCTGTACCATGTTTAATAGTAAAGTATTTCCCCACATATCTAAAAAAATGTAGGCCTATGTAGATGACTTATGAGGAGAAATGGGGAAGAAAATCATGTTCAGACTGTTTAATTAAACATTAATTATGCGGAGCTAGTATATATTATTTAAGATGAACTTCTTAGTTCAAGGTTTGAGTCCTGATACTAATAAAATTAGCATCGGTTACAGTTACATTGATCAGTCTAAAATAGGGCGCTAAGGACATTTTTTTCTGGCATTTCTCTAGTTATGCAGTTTTTTAGGGCTAAATGCAAGTTTTAAACTCTGAAACAGTGAGTTCAGATTCTTTATAAGATAAAAGACTGTCTCCGGTGGCTGGATGAACAAGTTGAAACGGATTGTGAAATCCTAGGAAACAGATGAAGACATTCGGAAGACCTACAGACTCACACAGTCTCTGATTTCTTGCGAGTTTCAAGTGTCAAACACGGCGAAAATAGCCCATGAACTCGATCTAAAGTGTCAGAAACAGCAGTTGTGAGTTCAGCTGTAAATTCAGCAGAGAAAGTAGCAACTCAGCGGCAGACAGCGACGCGAACAGCTACACACCACTAATCGATGAAAAGCTTAAGCCGGATGAAGAAATAAAAGCCAAACCATATAAAGGATACTTACTTTTGTGAAGATGCGGTCAGTGTCTTGAGTATGGACCGTTATGTGCGTTATGTTCAGTCTCTCGCGCGCTTCACTGTACAGTAGGAGAAGCTGCGTGACTTCATCATCCAGGAGGAGTCCCGGATTGAAAACACGGACAATCCCTGTGACTCTTTACAGCTTTTCAGCTGCCATAATCATTTACACGCCAAGATTGATTGTGTTAAGGTATATACCTCATTATCCCATAAATGTACTTGGATGTTTGTAGTTCTATGCATTTTATTTCACTTTTTTTTGAAGATGCATGTTGCATTTATTAGATTAAACTGCTATATTTAATAAGTCTGATTTCGTTTTAAGTAGGCCTCATGTAGTGGGAGCTTTCGGAATTTCGACCGCATTCTTAATACACTGGCGGTCACTACAGAAGTTGCGATATTACAATTAGACGTAGGCCTAATCAACTAATCAAGTTCAACCGTTTTGAGGACTATGTCTAAATATAAATATATAAATATTCCTGGTGGGGATTTAACATATAACAAAGCGGTTTGTGCCTTAGTCTTACCGTAAACGAGGCCTGCAGCTTTGCAGCTTACTCAGCTAACTGGCATGTCGTTAAACATCATTCCCTCCCTCACAGCCTCGTTTTCATTCATGTCAAAAATGAAATATGGCGCTACCCTTACTAAGGTCTATGGTTTCAAACTTCCTCTATACAAGTATACAAGTAGACTTCTAACGCTTTCAAAGTGAATGCTTCATGTCAACAGCCATCCTATCCATTTTTGTCTTTATTTCTTGTAGCTTGTCACTCCTCAGCGGAATGCTAGTTGAAGTATTTTTAAATAGGTTTTTATTGAACTAAGATTCATTGCATTCATATCAATATTTTATATAATATCATGTCTTCTATGTAAATGGTTAATTTCTTAACAAAAGTTTCCAATTAAGTAAATTCATTTGATCCATATCATTCATAATTGGCAACATGCTTTTATGGTTTGGTGATATTTCTCCTATATTGTAAGTATAAAAAAATCCGCAATGATTGTTTCTTATGCCAAATTTACACTGTAAAGGTGGCACAGAAGTGCTTCTGAAGTGGCATTTACGTAGGTATCTTTATGCAGACTGTTTAATGCTGCTCAGAGGTGGCATAAATGCATTTACACAGCAATTACAACTGTATATTTTGATACTTGAGGTTGAGGTGGGCTTGAACATGCGCAAGTTACACTAAATGTTGAGCAGGCACAGACCTAACTCGGCTGTGAAAAGACACCTTCAGACAAGGTTTTCGTTTATGGGCATGTTTATCTCTGTATGGTGTCTCCAAACCCAGAGCAGTTTAGCTCTGCTTCTGGAGATCTACCTAGATACTACACTCCATGCTCAAATGCTCAGTTGATTTTGTTGTGTTTGAGTTCACGTGGAACTGAAAACTGCAGGATTATTATGCAGGATCTGCAGCCCTGCTTAATAATCAGCTATCAAGTTGCACAGATAGGTAATACGACCACAAGATGTCATCCAAAACCAGCTAATAGGAATATTTTGCCTTTGTTGTTGAACTTTTTTTTTTAATCATTGTGTGCAAAAATATATTCTTGTTATATTGTTGAACAGTCTTTTATGTTATTGTAATTACTAGACTACTGTAATCGATGATATTAGATATGTGTATCTTGGACACTGGAATATGTTGGAATATTAGAAATATGATCTTAACATAATGTAATAGAACACATCAAATTGATCACGTTTAGTTGCCACACTGGGCAGCTCACGTTTCCTGTAATGAATTTCTCGTAAGCCAATTGAAGTGAAATCTTGTGGTAAATGTTAATCATGTATGGGAAAGTTCAAAAAACATAAAAAACCCCACACCTTGAATATATCTGTTCTGTTCAGTATTTGATTTGAATGGTCATTTAAAAAAAAAAAATGTGTGTGTGTGTGTGTTTATAAGGGCTGCAGGATCTGCTCTGTGAAAGACCAATTGTACAACCTTTTGTTTCAGAAATACAGAGGAAATGCCTGTGAAATAAGGATGTGCTGCATTTACCAAAACTTACATTGCACAATCATATTTTAGCAAACACCTTCAGGGTATGATAGAACATACCGGTCTATGACATCAAGAGAATTTCAGTGTATATTGTTAAATTAATTGCTAATGTCATAGACCTTTATGCATCAGTGGACATTTTCAGGACTGAACTAGTCTTATAAGCATACAGAGTTTTGAAGCATGACAGCTGCTTTTTGGTGACATGGCGTTCTACAATATTTAAACAATATGAATTGCTAAAATACCACAGTACTGTTTAAGCATGTGCCAAATAAATGAATAAAAAAAAAACTAACACATAAAAAACTTTTTTTTAAATTTGAAGTATACATTCCAGACAGAGTTCAAAACATCTGTACCATGTTTAATAGTAAAGTATTTCCCCACATATCTAAAAAAATGTAGGCCTATGTAGATGACTTATGAGGAGAAATGGGGAAGAAAATCATGTTCAGACTGTTTAATTAAACATTAATTATGCGGAGCTAGTATATATTATTTAAGATGAACTTCTTAGTTCAAGGTTTGAGTCCTGATACTAATAAAATTAGCATCGGTTACAGTTACATTGATCAGTCTAAAATAGGGCGCTAAGGACATTTTTCTGGCATTTCTCTAGTTATGCAGTTTTTTAGGGCTAAATGCAAGTTTTAAACTCTGAAACAGTGAGTTCAGATTCTTTATAAGATAAAAGACTGTCTCCGGTGGCTGGATGAACAAGTTGAAACGGATTGTGAAATCCTAGGAAACAGATGAAGACATTCGGAAGACCTACAGTGAGGTTGAGGTGGGCTTGAACATGCGCAAGTTACACTAAATGTTGAGCAGGCACAGACCTAACTCGGCTGTGAAAAGACACCTTCAGACAAGGTTTTCGTTTATGGGCATGTTTATCTCTGTATGGTGTCTCCAAACCCAGAGCAGTTTAGCTCTGCTTCTGGAGATCTACCTAGATACTACACTCCATGCTCAAATGCTCAGTTGATTTTGTTGTGTTTGAGTTCACGTGGAACTGAAAACTGCAGGATTATTATGCAGGATCTGCAGCCCTGCTTAATAATCAGCTATCAAGTTGCACAGATAGGTAATACGACCACAAGATGTCATCCAAAACCAGCTAATAGGAATATTTTGCCTTTGTTGTTGAACTTTTTTTTTTAATCGTTGTGTGCAAAAATATATTCTTGTTATATTGTTGAACAGTCTTTTATGTTATTGTAATTACTAGACTACTGTAATCGATGATATTAGATATGTGTATCTTGGACACTGGAATATGTTGGAATATTAGAAATATGATCTTAACATAATGTAATAGAACACATCAAATTGATCACGTTTAGTTGCCACACTGGGCAGCTCACGTTTCCTGTAATGAATTTCTCGTAAGCCAATTGAAGTGAAATCTTGTGGTAAATGTTAATCATGTATGGGAAAGTTCAAAAAACATAAAAAACCCCACACCTTGAATATATCTGTTCTGTTCAGTATTTGATTTGAATGGTCATTTAAAAAAAAAAAAATGTCTCATTTGTCAGACTAAAGTTGACCCATCTTCTTGATCTAAACTAATCTAATGTTTTTTTCTGATCTCATTATTATAAAACATAATTTATTATTATTATTATTATTATTTAAATCCTTGTTACTGAATTTGATTAGTTTGAACAAGCTTTAAATGAGTAGTAAATCAAAATGGAATACATTTTTTAAATTGATATCAATTTATTTAATTATTTAATCAGATAATGCATATTTAGCCAGTAAAACCTGAAAAGTTTGGGACCTGAAGGTATCCTGACCACTGACATCTCTCTTGAAACAGACACACTCTATCTTTTTTTCTTTTTAAGAGCTCAGTTAATGAGCTCATTCATAATTAAAGAGCATTGATTTTGTGCAGCGGCTCTTATAATTTGAAACACACTTTGTGAAGCCTTTATTTCACATGCTTACCTTGTCAAGCACCTGGTGTTGCCCTGCAAGACCGACTAGAAGAAAACAGATCAATGCTCACTGAATATAAATTATGAAATTTGAAGTCATTGCTGTCTTAATCCTTCAAAAAGGTTTGAATGGAAAATAATAAAAAAAGCTTCACAGATGTGATAAACCACTGGGTCTAGCATGATAACGACCCATATTTGTTTCTCTCTCTAAAGTGGAAATATATTGATCTCAATGAGTGATCGCTGAAGCCATCAAAAGTCAAATGCAGGGTTGGTTCTTATACCCCCAACGAGTGTCGTTAGAAGTGCTCTATGAGAGAAAGCCTTTTGATGAACAACAATGATTGTGTGATTATTTTGAACTCTGAACCAGAACATCTTGAAAAGCATATCAACAGTGACAAAAGAATTAAAAAAAACAGTTTGACATTCAGAGGAACAGAAAGATATTCATAACTTCAGAAAAATGTGCTCCCTTTCTGATAACATCTGTTGAAAGGAGAATTGTGTCTAAGTAATGAAAGAAAGATTTTAAATATGTACTTTATGTATTTTAAAAGCATTTGTGGAATGCACTGCTATTGTGTGGGTAGTCAAATTGCCAGTGGGATTTGATTCACAAGACCAGAGACCATACCTGAACATTTATCAGCCATTTACAGAGATAGTAGTGAAACGGCATAGTGAGGTGGACTCTATTAATATTACTCTATTAATATTCATATTATTTACTGTTATCATTGGTTAGGTTTTAGTATTACTGTATGTCAGAGCATCCAGTGTGCTTGTAATCGAACTGCGCCGGTTTCTTCTGCCCATGGTTTAATAATCATAGAGCTTATTAACTTGATGCACTAATGTATATCTGTTGGCAGTAATTCTCACAGGATTAGATTTCATATGCCTCTCCTTTCCTCTCCTGTGGGCTTAGAAAGGAAGTGATTTTCCTCACCAGCTGTTAGAAATGATTCTAATCCCACTTGCTCCAATGTTGTGCATCTCTGGGGCTCTATTGTCCTCAGATGTTTGCTGCAACCATAAACGGCACCATCTGATTCATTCTTCTAGGACCAGTTAATTAGATAAATCAAGAGTCCTGCTCAGTTGGAACAAACACCTGTGGACAAACGGCACTAGTGA